TAAATTGAGGACATAACCAGTCTAAGGTATGGCTGAAGGGATGCTTTTTTTATTAAAGACATGAGGGAGAAGATGGCCAGAGGCATTGGGAACAGTCCAGAGTGGGGAGAGAAAGAGAAAGAGAGGGGACCAAAAGAGGAAGACAAAAGAGAGGACTTGAAGAGTGGAAGACAAAAGGGAGAGAGACCAAAGAAAGCACCCCACTTAAGTGGCAGGGTTACAGGGACAAGAAAGGCTGGATGAGGGAAGCCCAGGAGCAGCAGAAATTTAGGGGTGGGGGTGGGGTGAGAAAAGCCACAGGTACTGAAGGAACCTGGAGGCCAGTATGCGCTGTGCTATGCTAACAGGCTTCCAGGAACCTGGCATCTAGAATCCAAGTTAATTACAGAAAAGAGTTGACTCAGAGAGGGAGGGGGAAAGTAAAAGAAATAGAATGGAGTTAGCCAAACCAGCGTTCGACAATTGAATATTTATGTTCATCTTTCACAAAACCTTCTAACTCATCATTATTATCCTTTCCTCAGTCTACATTGAGAGGTTACCAGGGTCTCTCTCTGGCCTCACCTGACAGGCTCCCTGGTTCTTGTGATCATTTCTTAAGTAATTCAGGTGGAAACTACAGAGTGTGTTGTAGAAGATAGGTAAGGTTTTTTACAAGGTAACACGAAACACTCCCAACATGCTGGTTTATCTCTTTAGATAGATGTATTATTAGCAACCACACTTTCATGTAGACATTGGATTTCTGATTCTCCTGCCTTTGCCTCCTGAGGGCTGGGACTGCAGTGGTGTGTCACCTCACCCAGAGGCTTATACTGCTTTCTATAAAAATCTTTGCAACAGATAGATAGTTTCCTGAAGACTGTTTTCCTACCCAGGTGATTGACAGGCCCATTTGGATTAACTCTTAAGGGAGGGGACCATGTCTTTGTTCTTTATCCGAAAAGCTCCTGCTCGATAGTAATCTTACAATCTTCCTGGCCATTCTCGTGACCAACAATCGGAAACATTGCTACCCATTGGACTTGCTACACGACTTCGGTTTATTACAAAACAAAATAAAAAAACTTTAAAGTAGATTTCACAAAAAATTGAAACTATTTACAAAGAAATCTTTGTGTATTTGTTTGTTTGTTTGCAAGGCTCACAATGTAGCCCTGGCTGACCTGGAACTCTCTATTTAGACTAAAATGACCTCCAGCTCACAGCAATTCACCTGCCTATTTCTCCCTAATGCTAGGATTAAAGATATATGTCACACACAACAAAGAAAAACTTTTTAAAGTCTTAAAATACTAACAAAAGTGCAATGAATAAAATAAACATAGGCGATGTCTCACTAAATATTGAATATAAGAAAGAGGTATAATAATAGAAATTAAAAAGTTGAAAGGTTGGGGGTAAAGAGGTGGCCTACTGGTTAATAACTCTATTCTCAGCACCCTTGTCAGACAGCCCCCAGCCTTCTATAACTCTAGCTCTATGGGATCTGACACCACCTTTGACTCGTAGGACAACTGTACTTGTGTGTAGACACATATACCTACACATAGTTAAAATTAATAAAGACAAATATTTAAAAAATAGAAGATGAAAGGTACAATACCTAAAAACAAAAAAGTACACGAGGAACTGAACAACAGATTTGAAAGGGCAAAATAAAGAATTAGTCAGTTGCAAATACATACAAATAGACTGAGATTATCCAGTGTGTGGAACAAGAAAAAGAGGGAAGAGAATGAATGAATGAATGAATGAATTAAATGAAGAAGGAAGGAAGGAAAGAAGGAAGGAAGGAAGCAGCGAAGGAAGGAAAGGAAAGGAAGGAAGGAAGGAAGGAAGGAGAGAAGGAAGGAAGGAACGAACGAAGGGAAAGAGACAGCATTAGTATATTCATGATGAGGATCACAGAAGAGAGGAAATCAGAACAAGTAAAGTCTACTTGAAATGCTATCTGAAACTTTCTAAATAGGATGAAAAACATTAAGAATTCATGTTTTAAAATGTCAGTCAACTATAACTATGTGGAAACCAAAGAGATCCACATTTTGACTCACTGTCGACTATTAAAAGCCACAGAAAAGAAGGAATAAAGTAGCAAACATATTCCTTCTATGTACGGAGTTTCTAAGATTGACAGATGATTTCTCATGAGACATTGTGATGGTGAGAATAGAATGGAATATCCAGTTGCTAAAAGAAATAACCTTTGACCAAATGCAACCAAATTATAATTATCCAGGGCTGGCGGGGGTGGGGTAAGTAAATCAGATGTTCTTAGGTCTGTAAATTCTGGGGGAACTTATTGCTAGTAGCTTTGTTCTATAAAGAATGCTAAAGAACCCCTTCATTCTGGAAGGTCCCTGGGCAAAACCTCAAATTCACATGAAGGATTAAAGAACGTTACTTAAGACATCTATATGTGTAACTATAAAAGATAACAAGCCTATTTTTATGTACAAGTTGTCTTAGAATTTCTATCACTGTGAAGAGACACTACGACCACTGCAACTCTTATAAGAAAATATTTCATTGGAGCTGGCTTGCAGTGAGGGGGTTTATTCCATGACAGGAAGTATGGTGGCAAGCAGGCAGACATAGTGCTGGACAAGTAGAGAGTTCTACATCCAGATCTGCATGCAGCAGGAAGAGAGAGAAAGAGAGAGAGAGAGAGAGAGAGGCAGAGAGAGAGAGAGAGAGAGAGAGAGAGAGAGAGAGAGAGAGAGAGAGAGAGAGAGAGAGAGAGAGAGAGAGAGAGAGAGAGAGAGAGACAGAGAAACTGGACCTGGCTTGGACATCTGAAACCTCAAATCCTACTCTCAATGTCACATTTCCTCCAACATAGCCACACCTACTCCAACCGGGGCACCTCTCCTAATAGTTTCACTCCCTATGGACCTATGTGAGCCATTTTTATTCAAACTATCACATAAGTCTTATCATAGTCAAAAGACAACCAATGCCACAGGTGTAAAGGCACATATTTGTAATCGCAGTACTTACGAAACTGAGAAAAAAATTGCATGATGGAGACCAGAATCCTCTACTTAGCAAGTCCTGAGCTATTTACTAAGGCTGTGTCTCAAAACTATCAAAACAAAGACCTAAAAGACAAATAGTAGTTATATAGGACAATAATAATAAACTTGTCAGTATGCATAAATTAATAAAATTTATCTGACAATAATGGTATGAAAAATGGAATGGGGAACAGTATATAGAGCTGGAAATGAGTTTTGTCTTAACAAAGATGTTATATGTTACTAAAATTAGCCCAACTACATTGTTTAAAATTAAAATGCTAAGCATTATTTTCAGGACTAATATGGAGGAAATAGATTTAAAAGTGTATAAAATAATCAACAAAGGAAATACTATAGTATATTATAAACTGTCTACTTAACAGAACAGGAGAAAATAATGCAGGAATAGAGGAATTTTTCTTAAACCAGCCACAAATATTAACTCAAATGAATCATTTACCTAAATATAAAAGCAACACTATAAGATACATACTAAATGTACATAGCTTTGGATTAGTTAATAGATTTTTTTGAGACAATGCCAAAAGCACAACTGACAAAGAACAATACAAAATTCACTTTAATACAATTTGAAAAGAATGCTTCAAAACCCATAATCAAAATGTAGGAAAAACAAGCAAGCAAATGCATTCTGTACTAGTGTAGAAAATGTTTGCAAGCCATTAATCTATAGGTGTCTAATACTAATGTATAATTCATAGCTCAGTAATTTAAAAAATAAGTGAATTTAAATGTTATCAAAGCTGTAAATATCAATTTTCACAAAGAGAAGCTAATAACAATTATCAAAAATCATATGAAACTATGTCAACATCATTATTTATTGTGATCAACTGCCATTTTTACCCATCAGACATGCTTGTGAGAAGAACTGTCAAGGATGTGGAAAAGTTAGCACATAGATAGATTCTTATTTTAGGTTTGGTTATGGTGCATGTATGTACTTGTGTGCATGTAGATCTGCACACCGGAAGACAGCATCAGACAGTGTGAGCTGCCATATGAGTGCTGAGAATTGAACTCAGGACCTTCTGAAGAACATTGACTGCTCTTAACCACTGAGCCATCTGTTTGACCCCATAGACTCTAAATAGTACAACCAGTTTTGAAAACTCCTAGTTTCTCAATGTTCTGCATAAAGTTCTCATTGCACTTTCAGAGGACCAACTAATTCCACTCCTAGTATACACTCAGAAGAGCTGAAGATATTTGCCATACAAAGTCACATACACAAATATCAGCATTGTTCACAGGGATGGAACATTGCAAACAATCCCAATGTTCATCAGTAGATGAGTGGGTAAAATATGGTGTATCGATATAATGTGGTGTTATTCAACCATGAAAAGAAATAATATTCTAACACATGCTTCATCATGCGAAAACTCTAAGAACATTATGAAAAAGCTCTCCTCACACACACCCACCAGACCATGTATTTTGTCCCTCCATGCATAGGTAACATAAAAAGACTTGGGGGATGGCTCAGCTGGTGAAGTGCTTTCTGCTCAAGCATCAGGATCTGAATTTGGATCCCAAGCTCCCTTGTAGCACAGTGGTACATACTATAATCCCAGCACTGGGGCAGTGGAGCAGGAAGTCCTTGTCTAGACAAATCAGTAAGCCAACTACAGGTTCAGTGGGAAACCCTGTCTCAGTGAACAACAAAACAGCAAAACAAATGGGGTGGAGTACAAGTGATGAAGGCACTGGATGCTGATAGCTGACCTACACCTGTCATGCCCACATATATACCCACTTACACACATTTACACACACGCACACACCACGTCAACACATACCCCACACTACATACAGAGAGACACATATGTGAACCACACACACACACACATACACACACACACACACACACACACACACACACACACACACACACACACACACACACCTACCTTCCTCAGCACGCAATCCACAACAAGGAACAAGATGTGGTCATTTGAGAATTTCCACTTTATTCCTTTATGTGACAATAAGCAGTATTATAGTCCTTTCTTTCTTTCTCTCTTTCCTTCTTTCTTTTTTCCTCTCAGTCTCCTCTTCATAGACTTTGAAGCAACTTTATCTTTTTCCACTCTGCAAAGATTTAAGATTATTTTGAAATTAAAGAACAGTTGTGACATTTCATAAGACCTCAAAGGAAAAAAAATTGCAGTATTACTGTGTGAAATTTCATAATTAACTTAGAATGTGTTCTATCAGTTTTTAAAATTTTCATTTCACAGCTTCTTTATTAGGAATAAATGCCTCTGACTTACTTTAGCTTTAAGAAACCTAGTAACATATAATCAGTTAATGGACTTGTGATTAGCACTTGACTTTGGAGTTTTTATGTTTTGCTTTTCAGTTTATGAACCTACAATCTGGGAACACTTTTAAGAGAATTTTTGTACAGAATTTGCATTTAAGCTGGTATTTACATGGAGCTGGTATTTGAATTCTCTGTTTGGAGTAAATACACACAAAATATTTAAATAAATCTCTAGGACGCATCTGTTTCCTGTTCATTGTGTACAACATGTTAGAAGCTTTTGGAATGAAAAGTGGCAGTTGAAAGCCTCACAAAATGACAATAGCAGTCATGGGGATGTTTTGCATTGCTCATTGGTAATGTGGGAACTGATGATCTCAAAGGCCCTTAAGAAATCAAGCCAGCTTTGGGATATATTTGTTTAGAAAATAAACTTTGAAATGATCTGCCTTCCAATAGCACTAAGTAGGAACTTCAGGAAAGAACTCTGTGATTTTTCTCTTTTCAATATTGATGCTGTGTTGTGGTCACACATAATATTCTTCTTTTTAGGGAGCACAGTTGAAGCCACCTGAACACAAGTCTAAGCAGGTGGGCAAGTTTTTAAATTGTAGCATATCATAGGCAGGTTACTAACTTTTGATCTGGAAGAAAGTACGTTAAAATTTGTCTTTTTGATGGAAATTAACCAAAATAAAACTTTCCCCTTCTTTTTGTGTTTTCATTTGTTTGTTTTCTTCTGCATGGGGTCTTTTACATACCTCAGGCTGAGCTTGTTATAGGTTAGAATACTTCCTGTTTTTTAAACATTATTTATTTTTATTTACCTATTTATTTACTGTGTATGATTGTTTTTCCTGCATGTAGGTATATGGATGTATGTGTCTGGTACCCAGAGAGGTCAGAAGAGAGCATCTGATCACTTGGAATTGCAGTTACAGATGGATGTGAGAAGTTACACATGATAGGGAGTTTGCATATTCTTCAAAACAGAAATTGATGGAGGTAGGAGAGAGTGAGGTCAAAGCCCGTTCTCATTCCTAAGTCTCAGGAGCCCTGACACAAGGTTCTCTTATTGTCTCTTAGTTTCATAGATAGACTAATTTAAGAAATGACTCAGAAGGAAACTCAAGGACAATCTTATTGGAGAAAATACAGCAGAACTGAAAGCTGGGGAGACGAAAGAAGTAAAAGGGTAGACTGTTGTCCTTTCTGAGCTTGAGGATGAAATCAAGCAAGCTTAGCAGTAGACATCTGTGACCAGTTGTATGGGGTAGGATGGAGGCAGGGTTTCTCTAGAGACAGAGTGAGAATGCCCAGGGTGTCATGGCCAGTAGGCTTAGGAGTTTGCTCTGTGTCTGGGAGGGCACATGGAAAAGGTGGGAATAGCTGATTTCACAGTGAGGGTCTGTATGTAACTCCTTTGAGGAATAGTTATTCCTCTCATCTTAATCATGTCTTCAGGGGTCATCATGTTTCTTTTCCACTTCTTGAGGCTGTAAAACCAGGCCTTCCCCTTATCACAGGGGGTTTTAGTCCTTGTTTAGGAAAAGGAAGTAACTCTTCTCTTCATCAAAGTGTATTATCAACCACTGACCAAGCCATTAATCATACTTTGTGGTACCCTAATGTCTCAAAGAGGTCTCTGTGCATGGGTGGTGTTTGCTCTCTGTATCATTTAAAAGGGCCAGGAATGAATCATGCCATTCTTTCTAGAGGAAGCTGACATAAATGAGCATCACACCTCAAATGGTGCTTTGGAAGAAGGTGGCTGCTGATAGTCCTTTTCCCATGATTAGCGCCCTTTACTATTTCCCCTACCCTAAAGAATATGGGTCCTTATTATCTTACGAGGGAAGTTAGGTAATGCCTTATTCTTCTGTATTTATTCATCGTCCAGCAGTGGCATCAACCTTGCCTCCAGATGGCCTCATGTCCTTTACTCCTTGTTAACTAAGGAGAGTGGACACTGTAGCAGGGAAGTAAGGAGAGTCCACTACTAGACCTAGAAGCCTTGGCATCTGTTGTGATGATGGTAGTGGCTAGAAGACTGATATGTAGTCATGTGAGGGTAGATTGTTTGGATTCTGAGATGTGGCTTTCAGGTCAGGGTCACTACTGAAGAGAAATATTAGCCCTCCATCAGTTTGCAGCTCCAAATAGGAACCCCTTATACATTACCTTCAGTGTTTTGGAAAATAAAATCTTAACTTGGTCAGGTGAGGTCAGCTAGTGATTACCTAGCATTTGACAATGAGGGAAGTACTTAACAAGACCAGTGAGGTTCCCTCTGAATATATTTTGGAAGAGCTGGAAGGATTTGGGGTATGGAGTTCTTGTGGCTGTTGGTCAAGACTTTTGGTACTCATCTTTTAGTTTCAAAATTCGACCTGTTGACGTCTATTTGAGTAATTGTCCATTAGCTGGCATCGTTTCCTTTTGCAATCTAGTCTAGCTCTAGCTCTTCCTTGTTTTGCATTATTACCCATGAATTAACTCTTTGCATAGACTTTTCAGCTGAGTGCTTATGACCATGTGGATGGCTGCAAACTCAGCTCTCCTTTATAAATGTTCAAGTCAGTTGAGACTCCTCATGGGTTACTTTAAGGGCTTCTTACCAAGGGGCCTCTGCACTCCCTTAGATTTTTTTCCTACTAGTGTCATCTACTGGGGTGTATCAGAATCTCTTTGATCTGTGGCATCCCTTGGAAGTTCTAAGGACATTTCCCTCTATAATGATGTCTTTGGGATCTCATGGTATCTCCCTTGGCGCCTTGTATCTCTTGTTATCTCTGCTGAAGGAATTTAGCTGAAACATAGTCTTGTGTAGAAAACAGGAAGAGCTTATTATGGCATAAAGTAAAACATCAACAAAGGGTGAAAAAAGACAATGACCAGACAGACTTTTGTGCTGGTTTACATTCCAGACAGGTCTTCACTAAACTCTCTAGAATGGACAGTTTTCCTAAGGAGAATTTTCCTGTGTAGGTGAGTGACAGGCCCATGTGGAATGACTGTTAATTATAGGAGGTTTTTAAATTATAGAGGCATAAGGTTTAGGGTGCCTACAACCAGATTCAGAGAGCTACCAATCAATGAGCTTCTGCAAAGCTCAGGATGTCCCATTTCCTATCAGGATCCTCAGAGATAGAACTCATGTCCCATTCCTATAAGCAGTAATTAGTGTATTTTAGTTTCAGTTCTTGGTGTCATAGGCTACATTGGAGAGGTCCAGCCCCAATGTCCTTCAGGTCTGCTAATACCTAACTAGTTACCTAATAACAGCAGTGTGAGTGGAAACCTCAGGCCAATGTTCCTGAAGCTGGCTTTATAGCAGCAGGCAGCCCGTGCATTAGAATAGGTGAAAGCCTACAGTAAGAACTACTCATTAAGGGCAAAAGAAATTCCTGTCTCCTGTTCTTTCTTGTCTTTATGATCCCACCAGTGACTCTTATTGTCTTAACTTTGTAGAGGTCAAAGAGGCCTCACTGATTCTATTCGTAGGACTCAGTTTCCCCCATAACACAGCAAGGTAGAAAAGGGCAGAGAATGGGTTTGGAGGACATGACTGCTTATGGAGGACAGGTGATTCCTCTCATCAGGGCTTCATTTTCTTGCAGTGGTTTTGATATTTGTTTACATTTACAAGGACTCCTTCCTACAAGACTGGGACAACTATCCATCGGGCCATGAGATTAAAGGGAGCAAGGCTTCCTATTGGCCCTGTTCTTTGTCTACACCTTAGAATATGGGCAGTGGTGCTGGTAATGATGAGTGCTTCCTCACAATCACCTCTGAACTTCAGATCTTCATGACCCAGAGTTCACGGAGCAGGCCAAATCAGTCAAGACTGAAGAACTCTTAGAGGTAGATTTCCTGAAGGCTAGCCATGATTCACAACCCTGAAACCATGCAGTCCCTAACATGACTCTTACCTCCGGTGAGCCACAGCCCTCTCAGAGAACTTCAGGGAGGTCAGGATTTGGTTGTCATGTTGGCCCATTTCCTGAGAAGGATAGCAGCAGAGGCTTGACTACACATTTCATTCACCAGCCAGACAAGAATTGATTTGAAGAGCTCGTTGTTCAAAACTCTGACAGTGTTTCAATAAAAATGATCCTGGAAAATAAGCATGTTATAGAATTGAATTCAGTCTCTGATCATGATGATGACCTGGGGGATTTACCCCATCCTCTCCACAATGCCCTTAAAATGAGCTAATCTGTTAGCTACATTTGTGTAAAGCTCTGGTTCCCATGTTAAGAAAGAACATCTTGTCAAAAGGCACTGAGATTGTCTCTAAAAGCAGAGTTGTTTAGCATCATATAAACATGGGGTAGCGTGAAAATAGTTTACTATTATTAAATGCCTGTGAATTTGGTTTTCCTATATTTTTTGTCTTTCTTTTCCTTTTTTATTAATTTACTTTTTACATTCCAATTCTAGTTCCCCCTCCCACCTTCCCTCCCAATCCCTCCACTCCCCACTCTTCCCATCTGCTCCATAGAGAGGGTAAGGCTTCCCCTAGGAGATCTACTAAGTCTGTCCCATCATCTAGTTGAGACAGGACCAAGGTACCTCTCCATCCCCCACTCCTGTATCTAGGCTTGGCAAGGTATCTCTCCATATAGAATGGGCTCCACTAAGTCAGTTTGGACATTAGTTTTAGGTCTTGGACCCACTGCCAGTGGCCTCATATATTGTCCCAGTCACACCATTGTCAACTATATTAAAGGAGTCTAGCTTGGTCTTATTCAGATTCCCCATTTGTTAGACCGGAGTCAGTGATCTCTCACTAGCTCAGGTCAGCTGTTTCTGTGGGTTTCCCCATCATAGTGTTGACTCCTTTGTTCATATTTTTGCTCCTCCCTGACTTTGATTGTACTCCAGGAGCTTGGCCCATTGGTTAGTTGTGGATTTCTGTCTCTGCTTCCATCTGTTTCTGGAAGAGGATTCAAGCTTCTCTGGGGTTATGGATTATAGGCTGGGTATCTTTTGCTTTATTTCTGGTATCCACTTATGAGTGAGTATATACTATATTTGTCTCTCTGGTTTTGGGTTACCTCACTTAAGTTTTTTTTTCTAGTTTTGTCTATTTGCCTGCGAATTTTAGGATGTCATTGTTTCTTACCCCTGAGTAGTACTCCACTGTGTAAATATACCACATTTTCTTTATCCATTCTTCAGTTGAGGGGCATCTAGGCTGTTTCCTTGATCTGGGTATTACAAATAATGTTGCTATGAACATAGCTGAGCAAATGTCCTTGTGGTGTGAACGTGTCTCCTTCAAGTATATGCCCAACAGTGGTATTGCAGGGTCTAAAGGTAGATTAATCCCTAATTTTCTGAGAAATCACCATACTGATTTCCACAGTGACTGTACAAGTTTGCACTCCCACCAGCAATGGACAAGTGTTCCCCTTTCTCCGTATCCTCTCAGCATAAGCTGTCATTGGTGTTTTTTATTTTAGCCATTCTGATCAGTGTAAGATGGAATCTCAGAATGGTTTTGATTTGCATTTCCCTGATGACTAATCAGGAAGGATGTAAAGCATTTCCTTAAGTGTCTTTCTGCCGTTAGGGATTATTCTGCTGAGAATTCTCTATTTATATCTGTTCCCCCTTTTTTATTGGATTATTTGGTAGTTTGATTTCTAGTTCTTTGAGTTCTTGTTTTCCTGTATTTTAAAGCAGTTTAAATTCACCTTCTTTGGAGGCCAAGGGACATACGGGAAGTAATACTGTTGATCCAATGCTATCCCCCTGAGCAGTTTTCAGAAAGCTTTCAGATGACAGGAAAATCCAGAAACAGTAACTAATCATTACTTCTATACTACATTGCTCTGGAGCTTCTTTCTCTTTTGTCAAAACTGTACCAATAAAATCGAAGAAGAGAAAAAAATCACACTTGAAAAGTTTTGAAGCTCAAAGAGGAAATCAAGGCTTCAGAGCTCTCTATCTTCTCTGGAAAGCACAGTGTTGGAGGCTCTGCTACATCATGCCAAAACAGTACAGGATCACAAAACCAGCTGGGATACCTTTGTCTTCAGGGGTTTCCATGGTCCTTTTATTAGCACATACTTTGAAGCCCCTTCTCAACTGCTGGGACAGGCATAGGATATTGCAAAAAGACCAAGCGTGCTGGCATGTCAAGGGAGCTCTGCTTGCCTTGAGAGACAAAGCAATTGAGGCAGGTAGGGGTCTGTTCTAGTTAGTGGCATCATATTCTGCTACGACGATGCAAAGGACTCGGCATTGGAAAGTTTTCAGTGGAGCTGAGCCAGAAGGGTCCTGAAATGCTCACACACACCAGGAGAATCTAGAACTCTTCAGTTTTTCTTTCAGTTTTGTTTCTGAAACGTTTCAGGTCAAGGGGAACATAAATCAGTATTTCTATCTCTTTGGAGTGAGCTGATAAAAAGTTAGGTCGCAAGGACAGGGTCAAGTGACATCAGGGCAGATGACTAGGCCTTATAAGAGTGAGCTGTGAGTGAAAGAATGCCCTTGTTTCTGACTTAAAATATAAACATATGCATGTATTGATATTAATATTTAATAAACCCTTTGAATCTGCTTATCCTTGGGGTCTGCTACTTCTTTTATTTAGGGACTTCAAAAGTCTTCAGAAAAATAGTGTAGAAGGCACAGAAAAAATTATACAAAAAATGTAGGAGGCACAGAGAAAACTTCCAAAAAAAGTGTAAGAGGCACAGAGAAAACTTACAATTCAATTTCCTGTTCACTGTAATAATATATACTTATACATACTTATGGAGTAATGACTATAAACAATCTTACTATAAGCAGATGTCATAAATATTTATCAGTCAGTATCAAATATTTCCTTTTACCTAATATTTTTTCATGCTGGTATAACTTCCAGCTACTTATTATATATTTGTGAAAGGAAAGAAATAGTAATGTGTTCTACGAAGATAACATTCCTAGAAAAAAAGCCATGACCTGCTCAAAAATTTTTGGATGGCCACACGGTGACACAAAAACTCAGCCTTACAAACAAGGATTTCTGGAAGTTTGATATACAAGGTCCTCCACCCATTTTCCTGTCACACAGGATGCAATGGCTTTTGTTGAAATGCAGCATGACACTAAATAGCTGGCTAGCACTGAATGTGTTGCTTATTATTGGGATCACTACATAGAGCTCCAGTTACAGGAAATCAAATGACCTTTCAGAATTACTGATGCCAATTTAAAAAAATACAATTTAAGACTTTGTTGTGACATTTTTCAGGCACAGAGGTTGAGTTTCATACATACCCAGACAAGCTTTGTTCTTCAAGTACTCATATTTGTAGCATGATAAATAAAAGACCCAGAGACAGATATTGGGGTTCAAACTTAAAGTTGAAGATCAGAAAAGCAAAGCAGCTGGGCACTTACTCTCACTCTTATCTCAGACTGAAAGGAGATCCTGGCTCCAACGAACCTCAGGCTGAATCTCTCCTCAGTATGGCTGGAGAATCCTGAGACTTGAATGCCTTCTAGACTCAACGTGGCCACCATTTTGATAGTGAAAGAAGATTCATCTTACAAATGACATATAACGTATGGTTTGAATGACAGGCCTCGTGAGTGGCATGAGGATCATGCAAGCTTATGTGAAAAGTACATAGAAAAGCTAACTGAGGATCTCATCATGCCACACATTTCCCGTTACTCATCCTGGAAGATTCTGGATGGCTTTCACAAGAAGACTGGTGAAAATATACAGATAATAAGTAAAAGATTCATTAGAAAAAAAAGAAATCCTTCAGGTTGGAGAGATGGTTATGTAGTTAGGAGCACTAGCTGCTCTTAGAGAGGATCGAGGTTAAATTCCTGGCATCTCTGTAGAGCAGGAGGAAGCCACCTATAACTTCAGCTCTAGGGGTTTTGTTACACTTTCCTAGGTTGCACAGGTATACACATACACATAAGTGAAAAAATAAATCATAAAAAATAACTAGTTAAAAAGCATCTACTTATGGAGGCAAATGAAAAGCAAAGCTGAATCTGGGCATGAAGTTGGAGAAGTTGTATGAGAAGAGAGGATATGAAGGCAAAGCAGTAATTTCTTTCTAGTTCTTTTTTTGTCTGCTGGACCTGGGAAAAGAAACTATCATCAAAGACAGGACTTAAAACAACAACGATACAATTGATTCGGGGAAATGAAGGGGATTGGTAAGATATCACATCATTCTTGTTATTTAAATTAGAAACAATCTTATTTTACATATCAATCCCAGTGCCATTGCCCTCCCAGCCTCCCATACCCCCCATAAACCTCCTTCCCTCTCCCATCCCCCAACCCATCCCATTCCCTATTTACTTCCCAGGGAGAGTGAGGCCTTCCATGGGGAAATCATTAAAGTCTGTCACATTATTTGGGGCAGGGCCTAGGCCCTCCCCTATGTATTCAGATTGAGAGAGTATCCCTCCATGGAGGAATGGGCTCCCAAAGTCCATTCGTGCACTAGGTATAAATACTGGTTCCACCGCAAGAGTCCCCATAGACTTCCCAGGCCTCCTAACTGTCACCCAAGTTCAGGAGGCCTGGTTCCGTCCTATGCTGGTTGCCCAGCTGTCTGGCTGGAGTCCAGACATTACATCGTTTTATCCATGATGGGTAGAATTTGATTGTATTCTAAGGGCTTGATTATTTGTCACCTATCAAGAACAGGTTAGTAACAGTCCAGTTACACACATCTAGACTCTCCTTCCACCATGACTTCCCTCCTTATTCCCCTCCCTCTTTCTTTTCCTCTGTCCTTTCTTCATTTCTTATTTAGTGCACTGGTATGGGATGCTAATTACTCTTTCAAGCTGTGGTTTCTCTATCTTCTGACTAAATCTAAATGTGGAGCCTTCATAGTATCAAGACCTGTTAGGAGACATTCTCCATTTCAGAGTCATTAGTAAATAGCTCTTCCTAATTGGAGAAAAAGCTTTCAGCAGCAAATTTGATCTAATTAACTCAAACAAGAAAACATATGAGCCAACTGTTTTCCAGTTTCTACTTTGTGCTGTACAAACTGACTTAACTAAAGAAGCAACCAGGTGTGTATTGTGTGCATTCCTAGTGTAGCACCATGCCAGAAGAATCCAGAGAGCTTATACTTGACATCTAGAAATGGAATGTAGAATTCATTAGGATTTTGAGAACCACTGAATTTAATTTTAAGCTTCTTTTTATAAGAATCATTTTCATCCAGTCTTTCTTAGAAGAAGAAAAAAAAAGGAAAAAAAAAGGCATTGTTACCTAAAGCAGAAAAATCCAAGTCTTGGGATATTTAACTTTGGAACTGTGGGGATTGTCTAGAGAGATAAGTGGTGGAGTGTCTTTGTGCATTTTATGGAATAAATTAGGATGCATTGGTTAAGTCACCAGTTTTATAAGTAAATGTTTACCTCAATAACATTTGCTCTTCCTCTCTGAGAAAAGAGATTTATATTCAATATAAATACAAAAATTATCTTATGAAACTATTGTGTAGTCTTAACATCAAGTGATAACATTTATTACTAACAATTATATTCCTTAAATCTTATTTAGTGTACACATGTAAATTTATAAAAAGTGTGATCACACTATGTATACCATATTCTTTGGATCTTTATTTTCATTATAAAAGTTTATGACTATAATCTTTTTCTATCTTTACACAGAGTTTCACATAACCCAGCCTGGCCCTGAACTTCTGATCCAACTACCTTCACTTACCAAGTGCTGGGAGCACAGATGTGAATCACAATGCCTGGTTATTTATGTATTATCATGCATTAACACTGTAATTTTTCATGACTACATTTCGCTGCATGTATTTTTCATGCCATGCTCTGCTGGTCAATTCAGACCTTTGCGATTTTTGTTATAATGAATAATGACATATTTATGTGCCTAACTAGGGCTAAACAGAGTGTAATAAAATCATATGATATGGACACTCAGTTCATACTGAGTAAGTCAGGCAGGTGTGTCAGAAGCTGAAACCTCAAACTTGAGACTTTGAAGATGAGATTTGAGAAACTCATCTGCAAATGATGAGAAAGCTAAGAAGACCCGAGCTAAGCACCATCTATCTTTATTCTTAAGCTCTTTTTGAACATTAATTGAATAGAAAAAATTTGAAATATTGCTTGCTCTCACTGACACTCAGGATTCAAAAATAAGTATTTGCCTCTTTCCCCTTCTCTTGCTCTTTCTGCCTTGCTGATAAAACCATCATTTTTATGAACACAGTAAAATGCATTCCCTCCTTGTTTCCAGACTTAATAAGTACACTGATTATGCAACTAAATTATAGTAAATGTTTGATAAGTCTGACTTAATCAGCTCCAGTGAGTCTACCATTACAAATAAGTGTTATCCTTTGTGTGTAGGAGTGATGGTTACAAAGCCCTATCGGGAAAGTGGACAAATATCCTTCTTGTGTTCACAAAGTAAGTCTAAGGTGTTAAATAATACCACTTCCTGGCACTCCTTCCTGCACTTTTGGGGGGTTTTGAAGATCAAAAGTCTCTGTACATTGCCCCATCTTTTTTTCTTAAAACCATAACCTTCTGTTAAAGCACAGTTTCAAAGGATCTAAACAGCAACTCAAAATACTCCTCCACTGCTGATGGGAGTGCAAACTCTTACAGCCTCTTTGGAAGTCAGTATGGTGGTTCCTCAGGAAAATGGGAATCAGTCTACCACAAGATTCAGCAATTCCACTCTTAGGCATATACTCAAAAGATTCATACAACAAGGACATCTGTTCAACTATGTTCATAGCAACATTATTTGTAATAGCCAGAACCTGGAAACAACCTAGATGCATCTCAACTGAAGAATGTATAAAAAAAAATGTGGTACATTTACACAATGGAGTACTACTCAGCAGAAAAAACCAATAGAATATTGAAATTTGCAGGCAAATGTATGAAACCAGAAGAAACCATTCAAGTTACAAAAAGACAAACATGGTATGTACTCACTCATATATCGATATTGGACATAGAGCAAAGGATTACCAGCCTACAGTCCACATCATCAGAGAACTAAGAAGCAAGGAGGACCCTAAAAGAGACATAAATGGTCCCCCAAGAATGGAAGAGGGACAAGATCTCCTGAGGAAATCTGGAGCATGGGGGGAAGGAAGAGGGAATTAGGTGAAAGACAAGGGGAGAAGAGGAAGGGAGAGGAAGACATAAGGGAGTAGGAAGATTGAGTCAGGGGAAGAATAGAGGAGAGCAAGAAAGGAGATACCTTAATAGAGGGAGCCATTATAGGTTTAAAGAGAAATCTAGCACCAGGAAAATGTCCAGAGATACACAAGGATGACCCCAATTACGAATGTAAGCAATAGGGGAAAGGCTTCCTGAAAGTCCCTTCCCTGATAATGAGATTGATGACTACTTTATATGCCATCCTAGAGCCTTCATTCAGTAGCTGATGGAAGCAGAAGCAAATATTCACAGTTAAGCACTGAGCTGAACTCTTGGGATCCAGTTGTAGAGAGGGAGAAGTGATGAGCAAAGGGGTCAAGACCAGGCTGGAGAGACCCACAGAAACAGCTGACCTGAACAAGGGGGAGCTCATGGACCCCAGACTGATAGCTGGGAAACCAGCATAGGACCGACCTAGGCCCCCTGAATGTGGTTGTCAGTTAGGAGGCCTGGGCAATCTATGGGGCCTCTGGCAGTGGATCAGTGTTTATCTCTAGTATACGATTGTACTTTGAGATTCCATTCCACATAAAGGGACACTCTCTCAGCCTAGACATATGACACATGGGTGAGGGCCTAGGCCCTGCTCCAAATGATGTGACAGACTTTGAAGATCCCCCATGGAAGGCCTCATCCTCCCTGGGGAGCAGGGAAAGGGGATGAAATAGAGGGTTGGTGGAGGGCAGGGGAGGATGGGAGGGAGAGGGAACTGAGATTGACATGTAAAACAAGACTGAGAAGTAATCTCAAGGCACAAGAAGTATAAACTGTGGCCCTTGAACATTGCCCTGTACTTAGAATCCAGGGAACTTTTAAAACAAGAGCATAAAAATAACAAAAACACAGCAGAACATAACAAAATTAAATAACACAAGTAAAGCTGAGACTTGAAGGAAGTAAAGATGAAGTGAAGATTCAACAAGAAAACTGAGTTCCCACACTGGCACACTGTTGTAGATAGGGTCAGAGAAAATACAAAGGGAAAGATCAGATTCCCGGATGACACAGCAGTCTAGGAGTATACTTTAAATGGTTGTCCAGTCCTGAATCAAATCATGAGTGTAGGTAAAGTGACAATAACATTTCCATTTCTATTTTAGTTTGGTTAGGTTTTTTCTTTTCAATTTAATATATTTATTTGTTTATTTTTACTATTATTGTGTGTATGATATAAGTAAGTAGGTGTGGGTATTCGTGTATGAGACACCTAGGAGAAGGGCAGAGGACAACTCTGAGAAGTCCATTCTGTCCTTCCACCATGGATGGAACTTAGGTAATCAGGGCTGTACAACAACCACTTTGACCCACTCAGCAATTGTTTTCATCTGGCTCAGGAGAATTTAAAGATCTGGTCTTAGGAAAACATGACATACATGATACTAGGT